TGCGCTTTTCCTCTCTGTGGGAGGAGGAGACTTGCCTTCATCGACCTCGACAGAGAATTTGTTTCAGATACGATTGATGTGGCGATTTCCCCACTTTTGTGTAAACACAATCAGTGGGGAGGACATCGACATGACACAACAATAAAACTTAATCTAGAAAGGAATGATCTTGGGAGGATTGTCATAAGGCATATATATATATATATATATATATATACAAAAGACAAAAGTTTAAGAAGGTGATATTTGTTTCTTTTATTGTTTTATTTTCTCATTGTATTATTTTAGAACAGTGATGATGACATCACCTATGCGGGTTATGTCAGTGGAGCAACGGCTCCGCAGCTTGGAGGAAAGTATCCTCCATATCTCCAGGACCCTGGAGGATCTGTAAGTTATTATAACTTTTAAATTTTACAGAAGTATATGTTTATTGTTAGGTTTAAATTTTACACAAATTCTATTCTATTTTAAAAAAAAAAATACTTCAACCGAATATAATTTCTTTACTGATCATAAATTCATAGTAATTCTAATCAATGTATGAGTGTACCTGCATTGTAGATATTTGACGAATGTTATTTGTTAACATTCCAGAATCAACATGCTGCTGCCAATACCTGCGTTTGATGTCAACCAGATACAATTAAAAAATATAAAAAAGAAAAAGAGATGGTCCAAAAAAAAGAGGGCCCAAAAAGCTATAAATATTGTAGTTGGTTTTACAAAATATACACCGACTGTATTTTATTGCTTTAGGCAATGAAAATGCTCAAGATGGTTTCCCAAATATGTGAGTGAGTGAGTGAGTTATTATTTAACGTCACATCGGCAATATTTCAGCCATATCGTGACGAGAACACCCAAATATGTAAGTTAGGTGTTCATTTATTTTATACTTTCAGTTTAATTGCAGTTCATTGTTTTGTATTTCAATATAATTTAATCATAAAGATTAAGAGAATGCATTTTAACTGAATTATTATTACTTGACATATATAGATATATACAAAGACAAAAGTTAAATAAGGTCATACTTGTTGCTTTTATTATTGTATTTTTCTCATATTATTTTAGAACGGAGAGGATGACATCACCCAAGGTCGGGTCGTCCACGTGTGACGTCACGAGCAGAAGACCGTCAAATCGTCCTACGTCACCTACGTGACAGATTTCTGCCGACTACAAGAACCAGGGCTGAGATGTTTAGAGGTCGACTGTCCTCACAGACCATTCGAAATCGGTTGCAGGCTGCCAATCTCCATTCTCGACGTCCATATCGTGGGCCAATATTGACGCCGTTTCATCAACGTCAACGTCTGCTGTGGGCCCAACGTCACCTCCGATGGACCCAGAGAGACTGGAATCGAGTCGTCTTTAGCGATGAATCCAGGTTTGATACTTTTTGGAGAAAAAACATATTTCTGTGTATCCCACAGTGAGGAGCATGCCAACAGAGGTGGAAGAAGACGAGGAAGATGGAGCCCTCACCCCTCAAGGACCTCTACTGATGGGTACTTAACACCTCAGCATCTAATGACAACACCTCCCCTTTGCCCGACCGTCCGACATCGGTACACTGCCCCCTCTTCATCGACGATGATGAAGAGGAAGGAGAACATGGCGAGCGGCTGTCGTGGGACGACGACAACGATGAAGGGATTTTCGCTAATTTTGAGGCCTCACATAACCGTCGCCCCTCAGAAAATACAGTGACAGTGGCTGCGGAAGTTCACAGGAATGGCGAGACAACTACTCGCTGTATCCATGTGCACAACCGGAGAGGCCGACTAATTTTGTGAAATGCATGACCAAATTATATATATATATATATATAAGGGCAAATCCGACCTTTGGGCGACAGTACTATAAGCTGCGACCTTTGGGCGACATTGCCATATATTACAAACGTACATTGATTTTTTATATTTCTTCGGTTATATACACTTTAATTTGATAATTAAACATTAAAAGGGGATAAAACCTTGTACATATATACAAATAGAGAATATATTTTTGATGTCGCCCATACCGTGTCGCCCAAAGGTAAAGTGTACGGCGTACATGTATATATGCAACCTTTAGGCGACTGTCGCCCAAAGGTCGTATATATATGTCGCCCAATGGTCGCTTATGTAATATACATATATATATGTCGCCCAACGGTTGCTGTTTAATACTATATACATGTATACATTTCCATGGCTGCTTATTTGATATATATGTCGCCCTTTGGTTGTTTCTGTGTTTCAATGTCTTGCGCGCCGAGGAAATTATATTTCATATCTGTGTGCATGAAACTGACTTTCTTGTTTCCGATCTTTAACATCGCACGTACAATCAATTCATAGTTTTGTGCTTAATTATCTCAAATATGATGCTGTCAAACAAATCAGGCTAGTTAGAATTAATACTGAGATTATGATTACTTGTAATATTTCTAAAAATATTATGCTGTAACAGACATTTATAATTTGGCATAACATGCATTTATTGTTTCCCACTCAAGCGCCGATGTGCCCTTGCTTCATATTAATTAGTGTCCGTTGTTTACCATTCGAGGTTTGCAAAGGATTAAGTTTTAAGGATATGTTAAGATTAACCAACAACTAAATATCAAATATTCCCATACTCAAACACTGAAAACCTCTATAGGAAATAGAGTAAAATTGAGTAAAATTAATAAACCGGATTGCACAGTCCAGATATGAAAAACGTCTTTTAACGAGATAAAGTAACAACATCATTAACGTTCGTCATCAAATATGGATTTGTTGAAACTAATTCTAATGACTGATCACAATGAAGAGATGAGCGAAAGTTGATGAAGTCTGAATACCATCTAACCACAGCCCATTTTGAGCCAATCGGGACTATTCTCGTTCTCTTATCATACACTGAGGCATACCAGACGACTCCTGAATAAACTGGGGGCTCCGACACTGTGATTTTCCAAATGTCTGGTCTGAAAACCATTTAAACACAGCCTATTTTGAGCCAGTCGGGATTATTCCCGTATTCTTATCATACACTGAGGCATACCAGATGACTCCTGAATAAACTGCATGGGGGCTCCGACACTGATATTTGCCAAATGTCTGGTCTGAATACCATTTAAACACAGCCTATTTTGAGCCAGTCGGGACTATTCCCGTATTCTTATCATACACTGAGGCATACCAGACGACTCCTGAATAAACGAGGGCTCCGACACGGATATTTGCCTGTTGTCTGGTCTGAATACCATCTAAATACAGCCCATTTTGAGCCAGTCGGGGTTATTCCCGTATTCTTATCATACACTGAGGCATACCAGACAACTCCTGAATAAACTGGGGGCTCCGACACTGATATTTGCCAAATGTCTGGTTTGAATACCATTTAAACACAGCCTATTTTCAGCTAGTCGGGACTATTCCCGTATTCTTATCATACACTGAGGCATACCAGACGACTCCTGAATAAACGAGGGCCCCGACACTGATATTTGCCTGTTGTCTGGTCTGAATACCATCTAAACACAGCCCATTTTGAGCCAGTCGGGATTATTCCCGTATTCTTATCATACACTGAGGCATACCAGACGACTCCTGAATAAACTAGGGTTCCGACACGGATATTTGCCTAATTTCAGGTCTAAATACCATTTAAACACAGCTCATTTTGAGCCAGTCGGGAGTATTCTCGTTCTCCTATCATACACTGAGGCATACCAGACGACTCCTGAATAAACTAGAGCTCCGACACTGATATTTGCCTGACGTCTGGTCTGGTCTGAATACCATTTAAACGCAGCCCATTTTGAGCCTTTCAGGACTATTCCAGTATTCTTATCATACACTGAGGCATACCAGACGACACCTGAATAAACTGGGGCTCCGACACGGATATTTGCCTGATGTCTGGTCTGGTCTGAATTCCATCTAAATACAGCCCATTTTGAGCCAGTTGGGAGTATTCCGGTTCTCCTATCATACACTGAGGCATACCAGACGACTCCTGAATAAACTAGGGCTCCGACACTGATATTTGCCTGATGTCTGGTCTGAATACCATTTAAACGCAGCCCATTTTGAGCCTTTCAGGACTATTCCAGTATTCTTATCATACACTGAGGCATACCAGACGACACCTGAATAAACTGGGGCTCCGACACGGATATTTGCCTGATGTCTGGTCTGAATACCATCTAAATACAGCCCATTTTGAGCCAGTCGGGAGTATTCCGGTTCTCCTATCATACACTGAGGCATACCAGACGACTCCTGAATAAACTAGGGCTCCGACACTAATATTTGCCTGATGTCTGGTCTGAATACCATTTAAACGCAGCCCATTTTGAGTCATTCAGGACTATTCCAGTATTCTTATCATACACTGAGGCATACCAGACGACTCCTGAATAAACTGGGGCTCCGACACGGATATTTGCCTGATGTCTGGTCTGAATACCATCTAAATACAGCCCATTTTGAGCCAGTCGGGAGTATTCCGGTTCTCCTATCATACACTTAGGCATACCAGACGACTCCTGAATAAACTGGGGCTCCGACACGGATATTTGCCAAATGTCTGGTCTAAATACCACCTAACCAAAGCCCATTGTGAGCCAGTCGGGACTATTCCCGTATTCTTATCATACACTGAGGCATACCAGGCGACTCCTGAATAAACTTGGGCTCCGACACTGATATTTGCCTGATATTTGGTCTGAATACCATTTAAACGCAGCCCATTTTGAGCCATTCAGGACTATTCCAGTATTCTTATCATACACTGAGGCATACCAGACGACTCCTGAATAAACTGGGGCTCCGACACCGATATTTGCCTGATGTCTGGTCTGAATACCATCTAAACACAGCCCATCACCGCGACTGGATCCACAAGTGCTACCACCCCATACCCTATTTTTCCAAATCAGCTTCGGAGACTCCACCATGGAAAATGGAGCCACATTCCACCCCAGTGCGAACCAATGATAGGAACAAGAAAAATTGTAAGTTTAATAATTACTATTTATTAAACCAAATAGTTTTGACATTCTTATTTGCATAACTTTGCAAAAAATTGTAATTGTGGCATTTACACTTCTCTGATCGAGACCTTGACTAACATTTGTCAGGTTAAATTGCTAACAATGTTGTTCTGTGATAAGGTGTTTCACCTTTAGAGGGTTGGTTCAAATCACACAAGGGATTCACTCCACCCTCTACCAGCAAAGTACTAGTATCTGTACTATACTGGAAAAGTGAATTCCCAAATGTAACATCCCTTAGAAATGATCTGAATATTTATTAAGTAAATTTCATTCTTAAAATGTGTGCCATCTCTTCCTTGTCCTTTGCTGCTGTATTTTCTGCTTGTTCATCATTTTTCTCAGCTGAACATAAGAGCATTCGTGCTTGGAAATCTGTAGAAATGACTGAATGGTCTCCGTTTCTGAAATATAACAAAGTTTTCAAAATTATGCTAAAACATCAAGGTACAGTGAGTATCATCACTCAGCTTCTAGTCCTATAGTCTTTACCCAACTCCCCAACTTAAGGTTTTATTAGGACAAGTAAACATTTGCCATTTTAAGATTTAGCTAATTTGTTATCATTATGAGGACTTGTGGCCTAAATATACAATTCACGCTTTGCTATGAATTAAATCATTGATTCAACAGAAAACTATAATGTGGGATCAAATTTGGTTTAAATATCTAAGCTTATTGTAAGCATGGATCCTAGGTTTCAGTATGTCATTTCATCTTGTGGATCCCATACCTGCTATTGACAGGTGTTGTTTGTTTGTAAATGACTCGTTCCATGATTTGCAAAATGGTTGATTGGTGCCATTAAAACCATTTTATGGTTAACCATGTATCAAGTGCATAAGGTTAGACTAAAGTAGCTGTTTGCCTAAAGAAGGGTTACTATAGTATTATTTATCCAGTTTTAAATGTATACAATTTCAAATTATAAATCTATGTGTAAGTATAGTTGGGAATTTTATGTGATCCTTAGCAAAGTGTGAGTAGTATATGTTAGTTTCTAATCAATGCAATATACAATATAACAATCTATAGTCATTAAATTAAGTTTGCTATAACGTAGAATAGAAATAGTTCTATAAAGATGAAGCCTTGAGTATTCAGGAAACTTTAATCTGGTAACATGGCTGAAAATTGAATGGGAGTGACTGCCACTGTCTATGAGTGAAATGAGGGTCAGCACTAGTAGTGAGTGAGTTTAGTTTTTAGCTATGACAAGCTTAACGCGGCTTAAACCACTAGGCTACCCCTCCGCCCATCAACCCTAGTAGTAGTAAAGCTTCATTAAGCAGATACAGACTGAATACCACAGAGAAAGGGAAAGGTGGGAGGATGTCCAGATAGATACTGGTTAACTTTATTGCTTAGTGTTTATCAAACAAGTGAAATAATGACGAAACAAAACATTGACGATATTAATATGCAGCAACATACACATGTTTTGGTATATACACAGAGAAATTATTACGGCAATGATAAAATAATCAAAGCAACAAGAAAGTAATTGAACAAAAGAGACATTTTAATTAAAACAACATTTTGATTGACAAAAATGGCAGCATTAGTTTTTTGTATAACAAAGGTCCGAACTGAAAATATGTAAAAAAAAGGAACGTATCTGATTCGCTTAACTTCTAAACCAAACTTCATAAAATTCTGCATACAATTGGCTGAGAGATTTTCTCCAAATCTCCTACATGTCATGCACGATGCAATTGGAACCAGTTGATGACATATGTCAGCAGTATGTCAGCCAAGTTCTAGCACTGCTAAAGGCTAAGGGTTAGTTATCTAGTTAGAAAAAAGACATGGTATGTTTTCAGATTTAAGAGTTTTGTTGTGTATTTGATAAACAGAAATTACATTTAGAGCACATAAGTTCAGCTTGAGGTTTGAAATGTAAACAATTTTGGCATTGACTACTCAATGAAACCCACAAATCTAGAAAACATACAGTATGTACCGACACTGTAGAATACAAACATGATCTGTCATTTCTGTAATTTTTATCTATCTAGGTGACACATATCATTTGAAGTGTTGAATCATAACTGACATCAGTCAATACAGACTGCAAGGAAGAAATCTTAACCCTTTAGTATGTATGATTTAATACTACAGCTGAGTGCACAGTGTGACAACCAAACCCAACTTACCCATATGATATACCTAGATTACAAACTGATCAGTGAAACAGCCTCTTTAGGGATACACAGTTTGATTACATTCGACTGTAGTCAAGTGAACTACAGAGAGTTTGGTATATACACTACATATGATGTGTAACCCAATGGTGTACTGATAATACATATGATGTGTTGCCCACAGGTCTACTGATTGTATGATGTGTTGCCCTAAGGTCTACTGGTAACATAAATGATGTGTTGCCCACAGGTCTACTGGGGACATATAAGATGCGTTGCCCACAGGTCTACTGGGGACATATAACATGTGTTGACCACAGGTCTACTGATTGTATGATGTTTTGCCCTAAGGTCTACTGGTGATATATATCATGTGTTGCCTAAGGTCTACTGGTAATATATATATGATGTGTTGCCCTAGGGTCTATGGGTGATATATAAGATGCATTGCCCTAAGGTCTACTGGTGATATATAGGATGTGTTGCCATAAGGTCTACTGGTGATACATAAGATGTGTTGCCCTAAGGTCTACTGGTGATATATATGATGTGTTGCCCTAAGGTCTACTGGCAATATAATATATGATTGTATGATGTGTGACCACAGGTCTACTGATTATATATGATGTGTTGCCCTAAGGTCTACTGGTGATATATATGATGTGTTCACCTAAGGTCTACTGGTGATATATATGATGTGTTGCCCTAAGGTCTACTGGTGATATATATGATGTGTTGCCCTAAGGTCTCCTGGTGATATATAAGATGTGTTGCCCTAAGGTCTACTGGTGATAAATAAGATGCGTTGCCCTAAGGTCTACTGGTGATATATAAGATGTGTTGCCCTAAGTCCTACTGGTGATATATAAGATGTGTTGCCCTAAGGTCTAATGGTGATATATAAGATGCGTTGCCCTTAGGTCTACTGGGGACATATAAGATGTGTTGACCACAGGTCTACTGATTGTATGATGTCTTGCCCTAATGTCTACTGGTGATATATATCATGTGTTGCCTAAGGTCTGCTGGTAATATATATTATGTGTTGCCCTCAGGTCTATGGGTGATATATAAGATACATTGCCCTAAGGTCTACTGGTGATATATAAGATGTTTTGCCCTAAGGTCTACTGGTGATATATAAGATGTGTTGCCCACAGGTCTACTGGGGATATATAACATGTGTTGACCACAGTTCTACTGATTGTATGATGTCTTGCCCTAAGGTCTACTGGTGATATATATCATGTGTTGCCTAAGGTCTACTGGGGACATATAACATGTATTGACCACAGGTAAACTGATTGTATGATGTGTTGCCCTAAGGTCTACTGGCAATATAAGATGTGTTGACCACAGGTCTAATGATTGTATGATGTGTTGCCCTAAGGTCTACTGGTGATATATATGATGTGTTCACCACAGGTCTACTGGTGATATATATGATGTGTTGCCCTAAGGTCTACTGGTGATATATATGATGTGTTGCCCTAAGGTCTACTGGTGATATATATGATGTGTTGCCCTAAGGTCTCCTGGTGATATATAAGATGTGTTGCCCTAAGGTCTACTGGTGATAAATAAGATGCGTTGCCCTAAGGTCTACTGGTGATATATAAGATGTGTTGCCCTAAGGTCTACTGGTGATATATAAGATCGTTGCCCTAAGTCCTACTGGTGATATATAAGATGTGTTGCCCTAAGGTCTAATGGTGATATATAAGATCGTTGCCCTTAGGTCTACTGGGGACATATAAGATGTGTTGACCACAGGTCTACTGATTGTATGATGTCTTGCCCTAATGTCTACTGGTGATATATATCATGTGTTGCCTAAGGTCTGCTGGTAATATATATTATGTGTTGCCCTCAGGTCTATGGGTGATATATAAGATACATTGCCCTAAGGTCTACTGGTGATATATAAGATGTTTTGCCCTAAGGTCTACTGGTGATATATAAGATGTGTTGCCCACAGGTCTACTGGGGATATATAACATGTGTTGACCACAGTTCTACTGATTGTATGATGTCTTGCCCTAAGGTCTACTGGTGATATATATCATGTGTTGCCTAAGGTCTACTGGGGACATATAACATGTATTGACCACAGGTAAACTGATTGTATGATGTGTTGCCCTAAGGTCTACTGGTGATATATAAGATGTGTTGTCTTAAGGTCTACTGGTGATATATAAGATGTGTTGCCCTAAGGTCTACTGGTGATATATAAGATGTGTTGCCCTAAGGTCTACTGGTGATATATAAGATGTGTTGCCCTAAGGTCTCCTGGTAATATATATGATGTGTTGCCCTAAGGTCTACTGGTGGTATATAAGATGTGTTGCCATAAGGTCTACTGGTGATATATAAGATGTGTTGCTCTAAGGTCTACTGGTGATATATATGATGTGTTGCCCTAAGGTCTACTGGTGATATATAAGATGTGTTGGCCCAAAGGTCTACTGATTGTATGATGTGTTGCCCAAAGGTCTACTGGTGATATATATGATGTATTGCCCTAAGGTCTACTGGTGATATATGTGTTGCCAACGGGTCTACTGGTAATATATATGATGTGTTGCCCTAAGGTCTACTGGTAATACATAAGATGTGTTGCCCAAAGGTCTAATGGTGATATATAAGATGTGTTGCCCTAAGGTCTACTGGTGATATATAAGATGTGTTGCCCTAAGGTCTACTGGTAATATATATGATGTGTTGCCCTAAGGTCTACTGGTGGTATATAAGATGTGTTGCCATAAGGTCTACTGGTGATATATAAGATGTGTTGCTCTAAGGTCTACTGGTGATATATATGATGTGTTGCCCTAAGGTCTACTGGTGATATATAAGATGTGTTGGCCAAAGGTCTACTGGTAATATATATGATGTGTTGCCCTAAGGTCTACTGGTGGTATATAAGATGTGTTGCCATAAGGTCTACTGGTGATATATAAGATGTGTTGCTCTAAGGTCTACTGGTGATATATATGATGTGTTGCCCTAAGGTCTACTGGTGATATATAAGATGTGTTGGCCAAAGGTCTACTGATTGTATGATGTGTTGCCCAAAGGTCTACTGGTGATATATATGATGTATTGCCCTAAGGTCTCCTGGTAATATATATGATGTGTTGCCCTAAGGTCTACTGGTAATACATAAGATGTGTTCCCCAAAGGTCTAATGGTGATATATAAGATGTGTTGCCTTAAGGTCTACTGGTGATATATAAGATGTGTTGCCCTAAGGTCTACTGGTAATATATATGATGTGTTGCCCTAAGGTATACTGGTATATATGATATACTGGATAAGATGTGTTGCCCACAGGTCTACTGGTCATATATAAGATGTGTTGCCCTAAGGTCTACTGGTGATATATAGGATGTGTTGCCCTAAGGTCTACTGGTAATACATATGATTCGTTGCCCTAAGGTCTACTGGTAATACATAAGATGTGTTGCCCTAAGGTCAACTGGTGATATATAAGATGTGTTGCCCTAAGGTCTACTGGTAATATATATGATGTGCTGCCCCAAGGTTTACTGGGGATATATAAGATGTGTTGCCCAAAGGTCTACTGGTGACATATATGATGTGTTGACTTAAGGTCTACTGGTGATATATAGGATGTGTTGCCCTAAGGTCTACTGGTGATATATATCATGTGTTGCCTAAGGTCTACTGGGGACATATAACATGTATTGACCACGGGTAAACTGATTGTATGATGTGTTGCCCTAAGGTCTACTGGTGATATATATCATGTGTTGCCTAAGGTCTACTAGTAATATATATGATGTGTTGCCCTAAGGTCTACTGGTGATATATAAGATGTGTTGTCTTAAGGTCTACTGGTCATATATAAGATGTGTTGCCCTAAGGTCTACTGGTGATATATAAGATGTGTTGCCCTAAGGTCTACTGGTGATATATAAGATGTGTTGCCCTAAGGTCTCCTGGTAATATATATGATGTGTTGCCCTAAGGTCTACTGGTGGTATATAAGATGTGTTGCCATAAGGTCTACTGGTGATATATAAGATGTGTTGCTCTAAGGTCTACTGGTGATATATATGATGTGTTGCCCTAAGGTCTACTGGTGATATATAAGATGTGTTGGCCAAAGGTCTACTGATTGTATGATGTGTTGCCCAAAGGTCTACTGGTGATATATATGATGTATTGCCCTAAGGTCTACTGGTGATATATGTGTTGCCAACGGGTCTACTGGTAATATATATGATGTGTTGCCCTAAGGTCTACTGGTAATACATAAGATGTGTTGCCCTAAGGTGATACTGGTGATATATAAGATGTGTTGCCCTAAGGTCTACTGGTAATATATATGATGTGTTGCCCTAAGGTCTACTGGTGGTATATAAGATGTGTTGCCATAAGGTCTACTGGTGATATATAAGATGTGTTGCTCTAAGGTCTACTGGTGATATATATGATGTGTTGCCCTAAGGTCTACTGGTGATATATAAGATGTGTTGGCCAAAGGTCTACTGATTGTATGATGTGTTGCCCAAAGGTCTACTGGTGATATATATGATGTATTGCCCTAAGGTCTACTGGTGATATATGTGTTGCCAACGGGTCTACTGGTAATATATATGATGTGTTGCCCTAAGGTCTACTGGTAATACATAAGATGTGTTGCCCAAAGGTCTAATGGTGATATATAAGATGTGTTGCCCTAAGGTCTACTGGTGATATATAAGATGTGTTGCCCTAAGGTCTACTGGTAATATATATGATGTGTTGCCCTAAGGTATACTGGTAATACATATGATTCGTTGCCCACAGGTCTACTGGTCATATATAAGATGTGTTGCCCTAAGGTCTACTGGTGATATATAAGATGTGTTGCCCTAAGGTCTACTGGTGATATATAGGATGTGTTGCCCTAAGGTATACTGGTAATACATATGATTATGAGTTGCCCTAAGGTCTACTGGTAATACATAAGATGTGTTGCCCTAAGGTCTACTGATAATATATATGATGTGTTGCCCTAAGGTCTACTGGTAATACATAAGATGTGTTGCCCTAAGGTCAACTGGTGATATATAAGATGTGTTGCCCTAAGGTCTACTGGTAATATATATGATGTGCTGCCCCAAGGTTTACTGGGGATATATAAGATGTGTTGCCCAAAGGTCTACTGGTGACATATATGATGTGTTGACTTAAGGTCTACTGGTGATATATAGGATGTGTGTTGCCCTAAGGTCTACTGGTGATATATAAGATGTGTTGCCTACAGGTCTACTGGTGATATATAAGATGTGTTGACCAAAAGTCTACTAAGTGATATATAAGATGTGTTGCACACAGGTCTACTGTTGATATATATGATGTGTTGCCCTAAGGTCTACTGATTATATGATGTGTTGCCCACAGGTCTATTGAAAATATATGATGTGTTGCCCAAAGGTCAGCTGATAACAGATATGATGTGTTGCCCAAAGGTCCTCTGATAAGGTCTGATGTGAATATATATGTGTTGCCCAATGGTCTGTAAAAATAACAGATTGGATGTGTTGGCCAAAGGTACGTAAAAATAATAGATGGGATGTGTTGCCCAATGGGCTGTGATTATAACAGATATGATGTGATACCCAACATTCTGCTGAATATTAATACATATATATATATAGAAGTTGCCCGATGGTCAACAAGATACATCCTATTCATCATCAACACAGACCTTTAGACCACACATCCTAGTTGCATACAATGGAATTTAGCTTGATTGATTTACTAATGACCTGCCAGGGATATCATAAAGCAGTCGAGATAAACACATTCTTGACTTTGTATCATGATATATGTTATTGGTGTTCACTATCTTGATATCTAGAAAGACACTACTAAAAACTGGTGGTACCTTTTGACTTCAAGTCATCTGCTGATGAACAGTATATCCACCTTTACATGTCAGTACTTTCTCACAGATACTACATCTGAATCCTGAAAAGATAAACAAATAAAATGTATCTGCTATCATGGAATAGAGGTGTCTTCAGTTCTCATTTGCTGAATTTCCTGTGTATGAAAGACACCAAAACATTAATGCAAATGTATCAACAATTACATGAATCATTTGATAACAACCCATTTAAACACCTGATACAATTATGTAAAACAAATTTAATTGAGAACCCACCCATCCCCACCCCCAACCGACCCAAGTGATATGAACATAATGGTGTCAGAACTTTAATACACCTGATTATCCGATGGAAGATTGAAAGTTTGACAACAGACAAACAACAAAATGTAGGGAATATGTTAATTTGTATACTCTGTATTGAAAAATGCCAATCCTTTCTGAATTGTGTGCACTACTGAAACACGACGACGCATCAGCTCTCTATAAAACTGTGGTAAGATATGAATACATAGTAACCTAAAAGTGAAAATGATATCTCTATTATAAAAGATATGATTATTGCAGGGATAAATTTTTGAATTGCAAATGTTTGGACATCAATCAAGTGCAAAAGTCAATAGAAAAGCTTCAAAATGTTGAAAATTACCCTATTGATATTTGAAAAGAGCAAATTATGCCAATTTTCAAAATTTCTACATTTTCTGTAAAGATTTCCATGATCAGAACCACAATACTTGTCTGGAACTGCTTGTTATGAGAGTATATACAGTTTTTCTTTAAATTTTTCATATATGTCATCAGAGACAGACTATCTGTATATAAGGCTATTCCATGTCTATTAATTAATCTCTTATTGGCCATTTTGAATTGCTTGATACTTTTATGAATAGTAAAAGATCCTGTATTGAGATAATACCTAAAACATGTATTGCTGCACTCGGTACTGATCGGCACACAACCATTCAAGATAACTGTACTAATATTGAGAAGGATTAAACAAATTGCAAAGATTCATGAGGCATTACTTCATCGGGTATTGCAAGTTTGTGGTGCCGAATTCTAAAGGTAGGCCAGAACAATGTTTAGGTTAGGAATGCCACGATACATCGATACTTTTTCTAAGATGATACAATCATTGATGCATTCAAAACTCTATCGATATTTAGTTTTGAAAGTATTGATTTAAACATGTTTTAATATGTATCGGATTCACATTTTGCAATTGTATCACGTTTTTATGTTATGAGAGTTATAAATGATTATTTTCATACACAAAGATGGGAAATTAGAACTTTTAATCTCTGAGAATAGAAAACGTGGATCTTTTCAAGGGCGCTTATAAAATATAAAATATTTAATGTTCAAAATGTAACTAATATTACACAATAATGCAGCGAAAATAGGTATCATGATACATATCGAATCATGTCATGAGTATCGTGATACGTATCGATTCATGAAACTTATGTATCGCTGACATCCCTAGTTAAGGTAGAAATAAATTTAACAAAGCTGTAAAATTGGTATTCACAACTTAAATCTAGTAACATGAAGGTATTGATCTCTGGATCACATAACCTACCACTTCCTCACTTTGGAATGCCTGAGACTCCCCTCGATTCTGCAATTTGAAGATCACATTTCTCCTCTGCCAAGCTCAACGTGTCTTGGTCCCGTTCATAGTTGTCTGTATTATGTAACATTAAAATGTTAACAATATTATTCTCAAAATGATTATGAACTTAAATTCAAAACTGAGCTTAGGAAATAATATTTTTCTTCTGAACTGATAAAGTATTTAAAATTCTACATGATTTAGTTATCACCCTAACAACATACATACATTATGAATTTACAATGTTTCATATTCAGAAACCATTGTAAAATAAAATTAACTTACCAGGCATAAACTGGATTGGATAGGATTTCCATGTCTAACAGGACCATCCGAAACTAGCAATTAGTCTCTGAATATATATAATTTTGATAGAATCAAAATAATCCTTTTAAACTGAAAAGGAGCTCCAGTGAGATGGGAGATTCCTGAAACTAAGTAAATCTAGACTTGCTTAAATTAGGTCTTTATCATTGCAGAAAGGCATAGACGGAAGTAAAAATAATGCAGTTCAGGAACTATGAGACAGGCTAGATCTTTCCTGACTTTTACAGTCTATGTCAACTTTGATCTTGAGTTGAAGGGTGACCAAAGGAAAAACTTGTGCCATCAAGTCAATTTGATTGGAATTAAAGAATACCCATAATATCATAGTTTCACTTTACTCACACAATATACAAAGTTATGTCTTTATTCATGGGTTGCTTCTAAGTCATGTTCAGGATTTTGTTAGTCATCCATGCATAAAGGTAAAAACTCACAAGTAATACAAAATGTTGATTTCTTTCAGGTTTATTTTTAATTTACTATTCATAATAATAATCATCGATTCTATGATTTATATCAATACTGTCTGCCCAGTGCTGTTCAGAGATGTTGGTGTTAGTCGACAATGCAAACTATTAGCCGATGATGGACCAATGATGAATAGCACACTACCTAAAACAGATGCATCAAAGAGGCATTTCTGAAACTGTTATTATGGCTTTGTAAAGGTTACTTACAACAGAAAGAGGCTTTAATTCTTACAATTTGTACTGAAAGAAATGTTAAACTTCACCTCCATTTTTAAAAAGAGAAATAGTTTGTTTAAGAAACACCCGCTTTGAACAAAATTACCCTTTTATGTAATTTGACTGCTAAGGGAACTTAAAACCATAAAGACTAATAACATATCCCTGCATAGGAACAGTTGGTCTATTGACCAACCAATAAGTTATAACATGTCTTAATGTGTTTAGTGAGATCCATCCTTGATTTTTCAGTTAATCTTATCCTGTCCACTGGTATTTACCCTCTTTCCTATGTTACACAATGTACAGGATTTAGACTTTGAAATGAGGAAATGTCCCTGCATTAAGCATACAAAGATAAGAGTAGCTGCAATGGAATTATGAAAGCTCAAAAAGGGAATTCTGACTGTATTCATGCACAATATTGAATTAACAGATTCAAGTGCACCAGTGAAGTGGAAAATCTCTAGCATTTGAAACTATATCAAGTTTGGACCAAGTGCAGAAAAATACAACGTAACCAACATTTATGGTTGTCAGTTGAGTAACCTGTGAGTGGGAGGATGTATTGCTCATAATTATGCTGGCTGAGTGGCAGTGGCATGTGGACAGACATGGTTATAGTCCTGGGCCAAATGCAAGAAAAGTTTTTATCTTTTAGGATCTCTCAGCATCAGTAAATGTGTTTTCTGGTAATTAGAAATTCTTGTCATAATCAGCCACAAAATGTATCAGGTTACTAAAACAAACAAAGTTTGACCCAGACAGCCTTTACTTGTAGGTAATAAGGTGGTAGGCTACAATCTTTGTACTCATATGGAGATAATTATTATTATTAGCATGAAAATGGTGCAACATATACATTTCATCACTATACACTGATATTTTCACTCTGATAGACCAGTGGAGGAGATAGACTGCACATAAACACCCAAAGGAGCAGGGTTCAAAGCAGGAGTACAAAAAGCTATATTTGAAAGTTAGAAACTCTTGATATCAATAATGTAACTGAAACACATTATGGTCAAGAGAGCAAATGCATATTTCCTTTGCATGAACAATTTAGGAAATGTGTAGCTGATATAAAAATGTGTAGTTCAGCTATCAGAGGAAACAGCAAAGAGCAACAATGGAGAGTGCCATTATGAAACTATAACTACAAGTCTTCCTCAACACTGCACTATCAGCTCATTATTTGAGCAAACCCATGTCAATGAGTATTACCCCATGGTCAGAATATGCAGTGTGGGTGATAAAACCGATTGTAATGTGTTATGCTATGTCTACATTTGGCCTATAAGTAATTTTACTGAAATCAAGTCTTACAGATTTGGTTAGTTCCTGAAATTAGTAATGGTTATTGACTGTTTTTGGTGGTTTATTTATCTATTAGTTGGTAGATATATATTTAAAATAAGAAAACAATATATCAGTGCAAAAAGTCAGTCTGATACCCTGAATATCAGGCGTCAGAATGAGAGATGTTTTGGGGTTTTTTGCCGCACCGGAACTGCACCTAAAAGTAAAAGGTCAATTTCACCCACTGAGTGAACATAAAATCATACAGCTGTGATTAGCTCTTTCGGTTGTGGATCTACAGTAGTTGGCCATAAGTGAGTCATCAATAGTGAAATTCACATAGATTTTCATGTTAATTAACTCTTGCAAGAATAATTTTCATACATTTAGTTTGGGTGGAATTGCTTTCAGCACTTATCTACCAGCTTTGTACACATAATTTCCTTTCAATTTTCCGAGGATTATTAAGAAGACTGCAACTTCTTAAACAAAATATATTAGACATACCAATCAGGTTTAACATGTCTATGGGATAGATAAAAATAAAGTTGTATTTATGGTGCTTAATCAGGTGTCATTCGATAACTAATCAATGAAAAGATGAAAGAAAATTATGTACACGTAGCTGAAGATGATTTCCAAGATGTTTGCAAACTTCTACTCAATTTATGAAAATTATTCTTGCAACAGTTAATTAACATGTAAGTCTATGGAAATTTCACTAATGATGACTCACTTATAGCCAACTACTGTACCCTGTAGTCTGTGTCACAGTCCCTGAACCACAATATTATTTTCCCTACTGCCTTGCCCTTTCTGCAATGCTAAAGGCCCTAAATGAAGCAAGTCTAGATTTTCTCAAGTTCTGTTTTCCCCGGGGCTCCTTTTCAATTTATAATGCGTTTGTTTGTTGATATAAAAAAATTATATTCAGACACTAAGCGATAGTCTAACCCTAGGTGAGGATCAAGAAACAACATGATACGAAACGTCACAATTGCGATCAAGTTACTAGCAAACAGTTTCTTCCAGTTGAGAAATCTTGAAATAGATTGTGTCATGGGACAGGCATCGCCTTTGAAACAATTGTACATGCTGCTGTTTTCAACAAAATACTCCGATTACGATACATACCATGCATTTCCCAATGCTTTGTGCTGCCAAGTCACCTCGTGTAGTGCGCGAAAACTGTAGCAAAGGGGATCCGATTTGACACAAAACGTGAACGGGCCTTCGTGTGAAACATGAATTCAATTTATTTACAGATTATTACATTGTTATTTTGATCGAAGAATGAAATGTTTTAAGTATTTAAACGTGTTCTTGGTGGCATATTAGTCTTGTCTGTCAGCTCCCACAATATCTACAGACATTATTGAATTATTAGCTAAGTGTTCATTTCGACGTTGCCGCTTTTGAACTTTCACGTTTTTGACGCACAGGAGCGTGAAGGCAAATCGCCGAAAGGTACTGCGAGCGAAACAGTGATGTTATGCTGAACACTTGACGATGTGTATATTTGAAAAAAACTGTACAAAACCTAAGAGTATATATTTAGACAATAATTTCTCCATTGTTTATTTCTGAACATATATCCATGTGTTAGAGAATTTTATAGAAAACCACGTGTCGCCGAAAGGTCGCAGACGTTATATATATGATATTTTGTTTTTCAATAACAGCACTGAAATTTTATAAAAATACAAAAGAAGCACACCCGAAGGTCCTGAGACGACCCTCTATCCAACCATCTAGTTTGGAATAGTTATTAAGGAAAATGAACATAGTTGTGACATGCAGATATTTAGGCGACAGAAATATATCCTTAGGGCGACAGCTGTCGCCTAAAGGTCGCACAAATGTCGCCCAAAGGTCGACTTTGTCTATATATATATATATATATATATATATATATATATATATTGTATTATATTGTGTTATATGTTGTATATACCTGTATTAAAATTTTTTGATATCGTACACATTTAGTTGGTGCTGATTCGCGAATTGTGGGAGTGCGGAAAGGTAGAAGAGAGCATTATGTCACACGTGCACGTGCACGCGCGTGCACACAGACACACACACGTGCACGCGCGCACACGTACTAGATGACCATTCCCCTATTTGTGACGGTTCAATGACCACGTGACGTCAATACCGTCGTTGTAGGTCGTGACGTCAGTGTGGCAGTGTATTTTCGCGGTTGCGTCACCATCAAGTGACGTCACTACCTTCGTTTGTAGATCGTGACGTCACGAGACCTATCGTCGTGACGTCATACGTGTATGACGTCAGTGTGGAAGCATATTTTCGAGGTTGCGTCACGTTAGGTCACCTCGGAAATGTGCTGTCACCATACTACTACATCTTCCTCATTGTGAGGCTAATGAGGGAGATACAAGTTGCTCAAGACCCTACACAATTAATTTGGCAGGTCGACCAAATTCATGTACAGTTAAAATAGGAAAACACAAATTTAGGTGCCTGGTGGATTCTGGTGCAGAAGTCTCCATCATGCATAGGAGAGTTTATAACTTAATTAAGGATAAAATACAAACTTGACAGAAAGAAAATAGCCTTACAGGGTGTAAATGGAAATTCCTTGGAAGTAGCAGGTAAAGTTAATATTGATTTTACTCTCAGAGGTACTAGTTAAAAGCACACCTTCGTGGTAGTTAATAATGTTA